AAACATGTATGAAACCCAACCCCAGCGCCCCCCCCACCCTCCCCAGCCCCAAACAGAACCCCCCGAGAAAGTCAAAGATACTCATTTGCAAAGACTGACTTGTACTTCAAAAGATTTCCTGTGGAATTAAAAGCCCTCGTGGTTAAAATTTCCAGCTGGGCTGTGTATAGTGTTTGTGAGCTGATGGGGGTGAAGCCAAGGCTTTTTCTTCCCATCGCGTCCTTAAAAAGGAAAGCTGACCCAGAGCACAGCACTGAGGCCATCAGAGTCTCTTCGCAGCCGGTCCACCCTCTGCCAGCCATCCCCAAGTCCACCACGATGCTTTTAACCCCAAGAATGCACAATCCAGAAGAAAGAGGGTGTTCGGTCAAACTGTGACTATTGCAAGGTTGGAGGGGAGGAACCGAGACATCCAGGGGAGACCAGAGCACCGGAGTGCCGCACATCGCACCGCTGCAAGGTGCGATTCCTCCTTCCAAAGCACTGAATTAAAAGAACGGCTCCTTTGCAGCATGTTTAGTGCAGAGGGTCGTGCTCGGTGGCCGGGTCGGTGCCAGCTGCTCTGCCAGCACAGCCCCGGCCGGACCCAGCGTGGCCAGTGGAGCTGGGGCAGAGCTGGTGCCACAGCCCCCTCCAGGCTGCCTGGCCACGAGAAACAGCTTGACGAAAAACGCAACAGAGGTGGCTTTGCCTAAATCTAAAGTGTTTTGACACGTTCCTGGCTGGGGAGAAAGTGTCATGGCTTTTTTTTAAAAAACAAAACCCAAACAAAACCACACAAATGCATGTGAAAACGTGCATGCAGGAGGGTGGGCACGTACACAGCACACCAGAGTCGTGTATGGCATTATTTGGAGCGGGGATGCTGATTATTCGGAGGAAACATCTACAGGTGTATTCCTCCACCCAAAATTGTGCTCTGTGTTATTTCCATAGCCAGGTAATGCAACCCGCCCCAGCCCAGCTCCATCGGGGGGGCTGTGGGGCTGCTCTGGGGGTCTCCAGGGACAGGCTGCGCACCCACCCTAACCCTGAGGGGATCACGCCTGTCACCCAGGAATAAATAACCAACTTGAGGCGTGAGATGGCCTGGGAATAGGGCAGAGCTGTGCGCGCACACACACACACACACGGTGGAGTGTGGAGAGGGGCAGGAGCGGGTGGCAGAAGGGGGGCAGTAGCAGCTCTGCTTTGCTATGGGACCGTGGAGGGTGTGGGGGGTGTGTGTGTGTGTGCGCGCACTAGGGCCAGGATCAGTCAGCTTCAGCGTGCCCCCACGACACGACGGCAGATGCCCACTGACTGGCAGCACGAGCCATTTTGTAGCCAACCATGTGCCCCATTACTTGCTTGTCATCACTCGGCGCTTCAGCCGAACGTCGAGGAGGGGCGTTTACTCTGTATAAAAGGATGAGCAATATCAAAAGCCTCTTTATAAAAGAAAAAAAAAATGCAACGCATCGCTAGAAAACCTTGCGTCCCAGCTGCAACTGTCCTCCCCCATGCTCCCCTTTTCAGCTTGTTTTTTTTGCTACCCCTTTATTTTACCATTTATCACGTCTCTGCCTACAGAACACCGATATTATTTTTTTTCTTTCTTTCTTTCGTTCTTCTTTTTCAAAACTCTTCCATGAATCTCCAAAAGTTCTCCCCGCTGTTAAAAGCCTCGGTGGCAGCGGCGAGGTACGATGTGATGCTCCGGGCTGGGCCAGCAGCCAGCCCCTCACACATCGGTGCTGATGCTGCGGCTGCGGGAGAAAGCTTCCCGCATGGCCGAGAGCCGGTTGGGGTTGAGGGCCTGCAGGTTGCCCACGCTCACCGGCAGATCGAGATCTTCCTGGCTCACCGTCTTGTAGCTCACCCGGTCGCCCCCGTTGTGCAGCTCCTCGGGGGGCTCCTGTAGGAAGAAGGTGGGGGGCTCGTAGGGTGCGCAGCTGGGGCAGCTGGACCGGCTCGGGGTTGGCTTCTTGCCGAAGGGGGACGAGGCGTAGAGGGACGGGCCGTTGGTCAGCACTACGTTGCGGTTGCAGTGGAGCGGCGGGATGTGGGAGTGCACGGCGAAGTCGGGCTCCTCCTCATCCTCCTCGGACTCATCCTTCTTGCAGCAGTAGTACTGAAACGGGATGGCCCCGTGGGCTCTCAGCTGGCATCCCAAAACGCCCACCCTGCCAGCGAGGGGCTGCTCCATGCATGCCAGCCCTGGGGACCAGCAGGCAGGGGACACCGGGCTCCCCTCCCTGTTGCACCACCCTTTGCGAGGCGGGGGGCTGCATCCCCCTGGCCTTACCTGGAGCCTACAGTAGCAGAGGACGGCGATGATACAAAGCAAAATGACAGTCGCTAATATTCCACCTGTGATGACCACGGTCCCGGCTGTCATCCGCCCTCTTCTCCATTAACAGCCTGCAAAAGCGAGTACACGGGGTGACAGGGTGAGGTGGGGGCCAGGGTGAGGCTGGTGCTGGGCGATGCGTCGTTCCACAGCTCCCCAAACCCTCAGCTCACCCCCGTTTGCAGGGAACTAGAAACCATGAGCGCTCTGTGGGAGGTGACGGGCAGGATCCGGCCGGATCCTGGCACTGGGTGTCTGTGAAAGCCATCAGGGAGGTCCCATCCCCCCCCTAAATGCCACCTTGCAGGCATAGGAGGATAAAAAAATATTCATGCAGTGGGTGAAAGTTTTAGTGAACAGCAGCTCTGGCATCACATTGGGCTCCTCTGCATGCAGGAGGGGGGATCCGAAGGAAACAAAATCTTCTGCCCAGTGCCCATGGCACCCAGCGCACCCTCCCAGCTACTGCCTGGTGGCAGAGAGTGTCAGTGATGGGAGAAGGCGCTTTCTGAGCTGTACACATTTTTTCTCTGAGCCTATAATCCATTTTCCCCATGAAAACAGTGTGGTATTTTAATTTGGAATAACCAGAGCTTCTAAGTGAACCTTAATGACAGCAGGGACAGGCGCTCTCCCCACCCTGAGCAGCGAGCTGAGGCACGGGATGTGTCTGCCTGCTGCAGGAGGCACCAAGCTCCTCACCTTCACCATGGCCAAGCCGTGGTGTTGGGGGGCTGTGGGGGCACCCCAGGATGCTGCTTCTGACAGCCTTGGGCGAGCTGTTCATTCCCAGCACAGCAAATACTGCAGCTGGGACACAGGGAGCTGGACATCACGGAGACACTGTGGCTTAGCTTGGCCCCACTCTTGTGTTTTGGGGTACCACCAGCACCCTTCTCTCCCTGGAGTGCTCTTTAGGGGAATCTGGGTGCTGACACATGGTGGAAAGTCCCTGTGTTGGCACTGCTGGGCTCACCCAGAAGGCAGATGCTATGGATCACTCACAGCCCTGCAACAGCAGCATGAGTCTTGCTCTGCACATCCCTGTTCCGAGAGCCTGTAGGAGGGCTTGAATTTCCCTCCATCCCACACAGAATAAGACCAAGCTCTTTGCCATGGAAAGGATGCTGGGCAGACACGTACCTGCCTGCACACACCTGCTAGCAGCTATGCAGCCAGCGGCAGTAACCCCAGCACCGCTCTGCAACTAAAGCTCCAGCAGCCCTTCAGTGCTGCAAGAGTTGGGCTGGGAACAGGAGAAGCGACATAAATTAAGTAAGAAATTGTACCCTGACCGCCTACTCTACAAGCGCTTTAACAAAGCTGGCCTCCAGCTCATGCTATCAGGTTAAAACAAAAAAACCCAGCCACCCCAGCCCCAAATTACTTCAGCACCCGAGGAAAAGCAACCGTATCTGTCAGGGATTTAACCCGTTTCCAAAGAAAATAAATCTGTGGCATATTTTCAGGCGCTTAATGTCCTGCTAAAGTTGGGTAAGTGCTGAATGGATAAAGCAGTATCACATTTTATGTTGCTGCTGAGCAGCGCTGTAGGAGGGAAGGTAATTTATAACGATGGCTGAACGTCTCCTAGCACTGCACAGCCACGGGGCAAGCACCAGGCCAAATCCTGCCCTCATTCCTCGGGCAAAATGCTCTGGGGAGGCTCAGGGTGAGGTGGGGGGCGCAAAGGAGTGGAATACAGTCAGGGGAAGGGTTTGCAAAAAACGCGTTAGTGGTTTAAAAACTTTGATTCCTGCTTAAAGAGGGATGGAGGCACTCGGCAGCAGACCTCGGGCTGCACTGGGTGCTGTGGGCTGGCAGAGCTGGCTGGAAATGCCCGTCCGTGGGGCCTGTCTGCTGCTCCCACGTGCAATCGCTGAGCTGCCAAGGCAGGGGTGTGCAGGGCCGGCGCGGAACTTGGCTCTTGGGGTGGCCGGACTCAGCCCTGCAGACTCTCAGGGATGGGCGCTGCACCCATCAGAGGGGATCAGCAGCTTCAGGAGAAGGTGGCAGGCAGGGCTCTGGCAGGGAGGGCTCCCCAGCTTCCTCGCTGATTAATTAAACGGCAGCCTACCCCGGAGAGACAAGCGAGGGTCGTACAGAGCCAATTTTCACAGTTTCTGCCCAGCTGAGGTCAGCCAGATGTGGCATTGCAGCCACTGCTCCATCCAGAGCAAGACCTTTCGCTCTTTTCTCCTCCCATAACATACTTGTCCGATTAAAGCTGCGTACCTGGAAGCATTAAACTCTCCAGCATGCAAAGGGGGAGGAAAGCATGTGGAGGCCCATAAGCAGAACAATTCCTGTCTAGACCTCCTTTTTACATTTGTTCCTAATTTCACGCTCCACAGGCTCCCAGATTCATATATTTAGTAATAAATATCCTGGTAAAAGGAAGTGCTTTGCAGCTCCGCTGTGGTCTTGGAGAAAGTATGCAGGAGCCCTGGTAACAGGAACGCAGGCACCGAGAGATGTGGTCCCAGCAGACGGTTGCTTGGCTCCTTCCTCGCCCCTCAGTAACGTTAGGAGCCCTCCAGCTACTGAGGATGCCTGACCCCCCCAGCCCCATCCAAATCCAGCCCCCAGCACATCCTCCATCACTGCCAGACAGCTGGGAAGGGGCTGCGTGGGATGTTAACTCTGCACAGGCTGTTTGCCCCTGGCCCAGGAGCCCTTTGCTGCAGGAAAAAGGGTCCCCAGTGCCACGGGGTGACAGGGGATGGTGCCTCTCGGGGTTACTGGGAGCCGCCGTGCTGGTGCGGGCTCAGGGGAGCTTGGGTGTAATGCTTCCCCCTTCCCCAGCACCCTGCTTTACCTTCCCAGCGTGTAAAGGACGGGTCTTGCTGCAACAAACAAACGACACGCCACTGCATGGTTGCAACGGGCTGCTCCTGGATGAGCTGTTGGGTTTTAGACACAATCCTGTGCCACTTGCCTGCTTTTGCCAGGACATCTATTGCTGCAGCTATAGCAGCACCAGCCCTGCAGCCCTGCAGTGGCTGCCAAGTCCCAGGGTGCAAGAAAATGGTCTTTCCTATTCCTTGCAGCCTGGAGAAGACAGAAGCAGAGCTCCCATCAGCTCCAGTCCCATACTAGCGACTTCTTTCCTCGCTGACACCCCCTGCAGGTCTCTGTCATGGCTGAGGACGTGGGTTTGGAGGTCGTGCTGTTCACTAGGAGCCAGGTCTGCCTCAGGCTCTGCTCCCCGCTTCATCTGGGCGCTGCCACAGTGGGCTGATGGACCTTCCCGACGTGCTGCAGCCCAACCCAGGGGACTGGAGAGGGCCTGGGGGAAATTCCTCACAAGCAACAAAGAATGGAACAGCACAGAATTGCACTTGACAATGCAGAGAGGAGAACGGGGAGATGAGAAATCATCCCAGGTCACCCCTCCCCCAGCATCTTGAACACGGCCCCTGGACCGCTGGAGGTGTCCGGCGCAGGGAGAGGCTGCGCACAGCTGCGCATCGCTCCCGGGTCAGCTCTGCGGAGACTGGCTGTGCAGCCAGCGCCTCTCGGGACGCCTGCGTGGGAGGAAGGCTTCGGAGCAGCTGGGGGGGCTGAGCTCAGCCCATCCGAAGGCTCCAGCTAACACCCAGCTAACCACAGCTCCGAAACGCCGAGCTCCGGCTCCAGGTGCTGGAGTACTCCAGCCACGGCCGGCTCACGTGGACTGGCCTGATCCTGCCTGCTGAAGCTGTGGGAGAAGGAGACCTGGGGACTGCTACAGACACCACTCCAAGGTTTCTTTTAGAGACCCTCAAATGCCCAGTTAAGCCACCTCTAGGATTTGCAGGTGTTAAGAACAAACTTCAGACCAGACCTTTAAATGGAAGGGGCTTCTGCCCATCCTACTCCATCCCATCCCATCCCACCCCATCCTCAGGGCAACACAGTCACCCCAAAGCCTTTTGCACTAGCTGAAAGTGCTGTCATGGCAAGCATCAAAAAAACGGAGTGCTGGTCCCACGGAAACTGTGTCTGCACAAGGAGACTGTGTCGTGCCTGCAAGGAGCTTTAGCCCACGGCTTGTCCTACGGTATCCCCCAGCAGCCCTGGGACCTGCTTCCTCTGCAGCCAGAAGAAGCACAGTCCTCTATTTAACAAGGAAGTTGGGAATTGCCCTTATTCACCTGACTCCAGAAGCTGGTGATTTACACAAAGTACCCAAATGAGGTATGAAACAACAACTGGCAGCACAGACATGAGAGCTGGCAGGATTAGTCATGCCTGGTGCCCCAGCACTGGAGCAGGCAGGACTTAGACCCCACCATAACAAACACACAGGAATAAACACCCCAGGCTCGAGGGACACTCGGCTCAAATCTTCTGCATGAGACCTCTGGCCCTCACCCTGGCCATCCTCCTGATCACAACAGTGGTCTCATTTGTGGAGGGAACGGGGATCAGCTCTGCCCTGCGCTTCCAAACGGCCGAGATGGAAAACGGAGAGAAAAAAGGAAAAAAAAAAAAAAAAAAGGCACCCCACCCTTCCCAGGGAGCGGAGGAGGCCAAAACCTTGTCCTGAAGTAACACCATCCTGCCTTGCCTTGGCTCTGCTCTGCGCTAGCACATCCCTGGCCGTGCTGCGTGCTTGGCCGAGCTGCTTCTGCGCCGAGTCCTGCTGCCGTGTGTGGGTGTCCTCCCCCACCCGGGAAGGGCCTCCGAGAGGGGAGCGACCCCGCACGCCAGCATGGCCCCCCCAAGCTGACCCTCCTCCCGGCATCACGACGATGGCTGGTGGTGGGTCAGCTTGTTGGGTCGCTCTGGGGAGAGACCTCAACGGCGGCAACATTCAGGTTGGGAAGATTAAGTCCTACATGGAAACTGGGCGTTGAGCAGCTGTGTGCGGGGCCGGGGGGGAGCACAAGTCTGACCTTCCGTGGGGGAGAGTCACAAGCTCCACAGGTCTTGCCCTGGGTGGGCAACGCAACCATTTCCCAGCTCATCCACACACAGTGAACCCTGACACTGACATTTCCGACCAAGCCCCACTTCAGCAGAAAGGAAAAGAGCTCAGCAAGAGGCTGGGGAAACGGGAGAGCACGCGAGGGATGCTGGCTGGCCG